TAAGATTCATACATGGTATCTCCTGAAGAAAACCAAGCTTTGGGATTAGTTTCAAAACCAGTTTAAGATACTCTGTTTTTTGAACATTCCTTTAATTCACTGAATAAATATCTGCCCACAAGAAAAGTGAACTAAGCGAGGGGTGCCTGGGTGGCTGAGTTGGTTAAGCAACTGCCTTCGGCTCAGGTCATGACCCCAGAGTACCAGGATCGAGTCCTGCTGCGGGCTCCCAGCTCCACGGGGAGTCTGCTTCTCCTCTCTCATGCTCTCTTTCACTGTCTCCCTCTCAAATAAATAAATAAAATCTTAAAAAAAAAAAAAGGGGAAAGAAAAGTGAACTAAGTGAAATCTACCTAATTAAGATCACATAACAGAGCAAAGGCTACACAAATTATCGGTCTCTTTAGTTATCCAGTTTATTTCCCCAACTAATCACACCAGGATTAAATAAGTAATACAGAGGACTATTTGAAAGATTTGATATCTAAAATGTCTACTGGTTTTTATATATTGCTATCGTACATCTTGTGAACTATCAAGGACTTAGATCAATTCTTCTAGTACTGGTAACTGATTGAGGGTGAATACAGATTTAGTCCTTCCTTTGATCAATAGCATATGTATTCACAGAGCAAGGGAACAGGCTATGTTTTGGAAAAAACAAACTAGCTTACACAGAAGTGAACCTACAACTTGAGCCTTGCTCATGCTCTAGACTGAAAAGCCTAGGCTTCTAAAATTTTTAGTAAAATTCAAAGAATTTAAACAAGATAAAAATCAAGATAACCCATTTTTATTTTTATTTTAAGCCAGCAGTTCCCAAGGAAACATTTTATTTCTGATAATAAATGGAATCTTATTATCACAACACTTTGCGGATAGATTGTAAGTTCCTCTAGGGCAGAACCTCAACTTATTATACCTGATAGGTCTCCCTAAACCCATTTTCATTGATGGCATAAAACCTACTATTTTTTTTTATTTTATTTGACAGTGAGAGAGAACACAAGTAGGCAGAGAGACAGGCAGAGAGAGAGGGGGAAGCAGGCTCCCTGCTGAGCAGAGAGCCCGACTCGGGGCTAGATCCCAGGACCCTGAGATCAAGACCTGAGCTAAATGCAGAGGCTTAACCGACTGAGCTATCCAGATGCCCCTAAAACCTACTATTTATAGTTTATCATATCTTTTATTTTATTCATTACTTCTCAAGTGATACTAGGAAATGTAGAACTTCAAGGTCCTAAAGAAAAAGCAAGCACTTTTAAAAACTACCTTTTTTTTAGCTTCTCATCTTCCCTGTTATGGGTACAAGGCTACACTTTTCACAAGATATATTGCATTCAGTTCAAATCTGCCCAAATTTTCGATCGTATACACTATGTTTAGCATACTACCAGTGCTATAGTAAGAAATTTTTTTTCTACAGAAATTTATGTGTGAGAAGTCAGACCTGGTGTCTAAAGTTAAAAAAAAACACAGAAGCACTATATAATTCAGTGCTAAAAAATTATCTATATTAAATATCAAACTAATGAGATATTTTATAAATTTTAATTCATTAATGTCTTGGAATTATGCTGCTTCTATGAATTTCTACTGCTTATACTGTTATTAGTCCCTTAAGGAGATCTACTCTGTAACATTAATAGGAATAAAAATGAAAGCAATTTCTTCCATGATGCATAGAATGTTTTTAAATTGTCGCAAAGTACCCTGACATACTTCCAACAACTTTCTACATTCCAATTCATATTTCCATTTTCCCTCCACCCATCTTCATCTTTTTGATTTGTGGCCATCTTATTCCCATACAACGGAGGAAACTTTCCTTTCTTTTTGTTTGGCAGATACCGTATTAGTGATTTTGGGATAGTTAAAAACATCCAGTGCACCTGGATGGCTCAGTCATTAAGCATCTGCCTTTGGCTCCGGTCATGCTTTCAGGGTGCTGGGATCGAGGCCGACATCGAGCCCCACAACGGGCTCCCTGCTCGGCAGGAAACCTGCTTCTCCCTTTCCCACTCCCCCTGCTTGTGTTCCCTCTCTCTCTGTCAAATAAATAAAATCTTAAAAAAAAAAAAAAAAAAAAAAAGTCCAGATTGTGAGTGAGAAGTTTAAATGGAATAAAAATATTCTCCTATCTTTCTGATAAAAAAAATTAAATGTCTAATCAATCCATCATAACACACACACACACATATAAGCACAAAGAATGAATGTTTGTTTTAAAATCTTCAGTACTGCCTTATGAGTAACTACAAATACAGTGATTATGCACAACAGTTACCTATAACTGAAAGACTGTATGCTACATACATATCACTGATTTAGATTTTTGCTGAATGTACAAAAGGGCTGAACTAATTCTATGTATTATTTTATACTATTAATTCACACTGCCATTTCTATACTTTTTAAGAACATAAAAAAAAGAAGAAACTTCAAAAGTTTATTGACAAATAGATATTCATTAAAGTATTTTCAGTAAATATAGTGACATATAAAGGTTACTTTAGTAATATGTGCATTATGTTTTATATTACTTTGGTTCAAAGATGAAATGACTAGACCTAATTTTTAAAGAGGATTTTCCTGGATTTTTATTATAAATACTGTGAAACAAAGTATGTTTTTATAGGTCTTGAGTTCATGCACGATATGTTTCTGGGATCAGAGCCCAATAGAAAAACATTGCTATTCACTGGGGAACAATATTTAATAGCAAAAAGAAAAAGAAAAAACAGGATGGAGAAAATGAGAAAGAAGAATAAACAAAAAGATGGACAAATGTAAAAGGTTTATGATGTTGGAAAAAATATACTTGGTACAAAAACATTGACACAGTTTATGATACTTATATTAAAAACATTTTATTTGCCAAAAAAATAATTCTTAAAAACTAAAGTAGTCAACATCACAAGTTAAAGTAGATTAAATGATGTATAAAGCAAGATTACACCTCTTATTTGACTACATTTGAAAAATTTATTTTTTCCCTAATCTAAAAGCAGTCTAAACCTAACGTGGCCATACCTGTTGAAATGTCTTAATTAGGGAAATTAACTGCAGAAATTCAAATACTCTAATTCTGCCTAAGTATTTCTTAATGCAATAGGTTCAGTTCGAGATCTTTAAGAAAAGAATGATTTGTTCTCAAAAGTTCAGGCATTCGTGTACCAGAAAGCAGTCGTTGAATCAAATAAGCACTATAATTTGATAGAAGTAAACCTTTATATAAAGTGATGACATCATGGAAGAAAGAACCTACTGTGAAAATATTAGGTAAATGGGTTTCAAAGACATTAAATTCTGGATATCTTAAAGAATCCCAATAATACATGAAATTCCTCGGATCCTCATTTATAGTGAGAAATCCATTTCCAAGCATATGTGCACAAGTACCTTAGCCTCTTCATGCCTGCTTGCCTGTCCCCCAGTCAGAGAAGGCAGGATATTTGGTTAGGCATATGTTTATGAATAAAGACAGGAAAATTCCAACTTTAAAACCAAATATTTTCCTTGTTTAATTCTGGTATCTTATTGGTCCATATGCTGCCTCCTCCTCACAGTATGGTACCCTCCTCACAGTATGCTACCCGAATCTCCTGGATTTTGACTTTCTTTTAAAACATAAGGATTAACATCAAGCAGACAGAATTGAGGAGGGGAAATATTGTATGAGAAAGAAGACCAAAACTGATGATGATCTATATACATACTGACACTCTTGCTGGAGACATGAGGTGCTCCATAAATGCTTACTGAAATGCTGCTTTGTGACATTTGTTGTGGTAAATTCATCCCCCTCTCTAATTTAAGAATCTTCATAAGTTAACCACCATCAGTTCAGTGCGTCAAACATCTGGTGGCACTTTTAAATGCTAAAGGACAGCACTTCAACACGCTATGCCGGCCTTCGTACCACTGCAGCAGGAAAAGATGAGGTTACCACAGAGAAGCAGAGAGAGGTATCAGGAGAGTTCCTGAATACATCATTTGGTTATATGGATTTGGTCATACCCAAGGCCAGCCCCACTCCTAGATTTTCTACAGAATGCCCAGACAGTCCTTTTTTCTTTCTGTCTTAAGCTAGCTGGATTTCAGTTTCTATAATTTACAACAAAGAAACACTGATATAGAGTGCCTGTCCATTTAAAAAAAAAAAAAAAGAAAGAAAATATTGTTTCTGCCTCCACATATTCATATGTAAATATCAGATCCCCATCAATATCCTATTATAGTAATTGACAAATGTGGCTGTGACTATCAGGAAAAGAAATAATATATTGAGAAATAATCTTAATCCATATTAAAGATTCATAATACAAATTATAAAGATACTCAGAAGTTATCCAGTAAAGAAATCTCAGTTGAATTTACATTTATAAATCGTATTTCAGCACAGAATCCTTTTTTTTTTAAATGAAAAGACAGTAGTCTTTTAGAACTACTAACCAGTAGAACACAGGTTGGGAAATGCTACTTAGAAACACAGCTATGATCCCCTAGATGCAGAATCTAAAGAAAAACTGGAAAAGTTTTCCTAACTGCTTTCTAAAATATTTATTTTTTAATTTTTTTTACTTTCATTTTTATTTTTTTTTTTAATCAAAAAAAGAATTTTTTTCAGTGAGGCCAAAACACTGGGCAGACAGTGGACTAGTGTCTCAAACACTGTCTTCAGAGTGCTGAAAACCTTTCTAGGTTTTTATCAGGAAAATGTGGGCCAAAGTTTGGTGGATAGTGCAGCAAGGGCAGCAAAGATCAGGTTGATCACTGTCTTGAGGGTCAATCACATGGGGTCTTGCTGGCTGCGGGTAGTCCTTATTGCTTGAGGGGGTAGTTTCAGTTCCCATGGGGGATACTCCGCCCACAGGGTCTTTTGTGTGATTAAAAGATAAAATGTGCTTTCTAATATATTTAAAATATACCAGGAAAAGATCAGAGAACTCATATTTGAATGGAAAAGTAGTTCATCTTCTAGACTGAAACTAACTTACCTGCATTGAAATAAGAATGAAATCAATTAGGCTCCCAATTCCACAAAACCCTACTGTGCAAAACTTTAACAAACCTGAAAAAAAAGATAAAGTCACTTAAAATTTGGAAGTCTTATAAATATTAACTTTTCTATTTCCTAGTAAACCATTAGGTATACTCTACCACAAACTCTTTATATATCAAGAATATAAAATTAACACTTTAAAAACTCAAATCTTCACCGGAAAATGAGAAAGGTTTAAAAAAAAACCCTCTGTAGGGGTGCCTGGGTAGTTGAGTGGGTTAAAGCCTCTGCCTTCGGCTCAGGTCATGATCCCAGGGTCCTGGAATCGAGCCCTGCATCAGGCTGTCTGCTCATCAGGGAGCCTGCTTCCTCCTCTCTCTCTGCCTGCCTCTCTGCCTACTTGTGATCTCTCTCTGTCAAATAAATAAAATCTTAAAAAAAAAAAAAATCCTGTATAGAAAGCCACAAAAAATTAATTCACTTGGGGCGCCTGGGTGGCTCAGTGGGTTAAAGCCTCTGCCTTCGGCTCAGGTCATGATCTCAGGGTCTTGGGATCGAGCCCCGCATCGGCCTCTCTTCTCCCCGGGGAGCTTGCTTCCTCCCCTCTCTCTCTCTGCCCGCCTCTCTGCCTACTTGTGATCTCTCTCTCTCTGTCAAATAAATAAAATCTTTTAAAAAAAATTAATTCACTTAACAAATAAGTATTATGAACTGAAATAAAAACTCAGTATAATCTTACAAAATTTCTTACAAGTCCTAAAGAAATAAATCTTTAAATTGCATTACTCCAGAGCCATAGAACATATCTTAGTCCTTATTTATTTATTTAGGCTTAACATATTATGTGATTGAAATTTTCATACACATTTACATTAGAAAGTTCAAACAAATAAAGATGGTCAAGTCACAGAAAAAATAACCAAGATAAAACTTTGATCTTATAGTTAAACTGCAAAATTTTATTAGCAACCCAATTATCTTTATCCTACACTTAATTATCTTAAATTTATCCCATATTTTTTAGGAAAAAAGCATCTCATGTTCATTAATTCTATAATCAAAATCAACAATTCTATGCATTGTATACACCTCTGCCTTCCATCACAACCTTGGAACTAGGGTACTGAACAGATCATTACAGAACATAGAATCTAGGACATACACAACGATATAACACAACCGTGATGATGGAAATAAAGAGACAGGTTGGGGGTGGGGGTGGGATGAGTAATCTCTCTTCTATATTTAAACTTAATTGCTTTCCAGACATATAAAAATGGTAGGAAACAAGACTCTTCGTGAAAGGGTAGTTCTAAGTATCAACTACAAACAGATGCCAGCTGAAATCACAAGAGTGGATGAGATCACCTCCCGCACACAATTTGGAAGTATACAAATAAGACTGAAATATATAAGTACATTAGACTTTTTATTATTAGACATATCACAGAATAATGTTGTAAGTACAAAGATAACACATGATCGAAATTACTTTAAAACTATAATATAGAGATTATATAAAATTCTGCTTTCACTTTTCTTCAAAACACTTGTTATGTTACCTAATATTTTATATTTGTTCTACCTGTCTCGTGGAAGTCCCACTAGGGGAGGATCTTTCATCTGGTTCATTTACTCCTGTGTCCTTAGTACCTACAACACCACGTGCCACAAAGTAAATGCTTGATATTTGTAAAATGAATGGATAAGTTGTCTCAGCTTTTGTTTCCTAAAGACCTCTAAGTTTTTAGCCATTATCTTATATAACAACTCCTTTAATTATTTTTTTCAATAGTTGCATTTTATTATAGTAGCCCAGGGAACTTGATGAACTCAACTAGTATATTCTATCCTTCACTCATTCATTCAATTTCTGAAATGTATCCCTCTTCACACAGCAATTTAATGTAAATTTGGAAATATCACAAAGATTGCCTTTTTCAATTTTCTTATAACACTATTAATTTTAAGAATGGTTCTGCAGCACATGGGTGGCTCAGTCGGTTATGCTCAGGTCATGATCTCAGCCCCACCTAGCTAAGTGCTGGGCACTAAGCCTGCTCAAGATTCTCTCTCTCCCTCTGCTCCTTCCTCAATGCCCCCTCCCTATTAAAAAAAAAAAATGTTTTTCAAAAAAAGTTTTTTTTAAATTACTTGCTACCCTATTAAGAAAACATAACCATGTCAGAGCCTTTGCTCTTTCATGAACCTTTCCAACAATATTCTATAGATCTTCTCATTTCTCGGGCTACTTCTTCAGAGAAGTCTAACCTGCCTATCTAAAGCAGCACGCCGCTTCCTCCAAAGCCCCTTGCCCTATCACATCACCCCTATTTATTGCCTTTTTGGTGCTGATTAAAAATCTGTAACAGCCTCATTTGCTGCTTTGTTCATTCATTCTGTTTTCCTCTGCCATGTAAATTCCTCAAGACAGGGTCCTTAACGTACTCAAGTTAATTCCATGAACAGTACCTGATAGACGGTAAGAGTTAGATAAATATTTCTTGTATGACTATCAAAAAACTAGCAACAATTTAAATGTTTAACAGAGAGGAATTATCTCAGAAAAATCAAGGTATACCTAATAAGAGAGAATACTATGCAGCTGTTTAAAAGAATGACATAGAAGTACATTTATTGGCAAAGTAATGTGATAACATTCAAAATGAAAATGATAATGAGTCATTAAAATCTGGATATTCTGCTGCTGAACCCCTTCTTTTTTTTTTTTTAAAGATTTTATGTATTTATTTGACAGAGAGAGAGATCACAAGTAGGCAGAGAGGCAGGCAGAGAGACAGAGGGGGAAGCAGGCTCCCCTCTGAGCAGAGAGCCCAGGTGGGACTTGATTCCAGGACCCTGAGACCATGACCCGAGCCGAAGGCAGAGGCTTAACCCACTGAGCCATCCAGGTGCCCCTGCTGAACCCCTTCTTAAGGGTGCTTCAGAAAAATGAACAGGAGAGGTTCCTGTTCAGATAAAATATTAGATAAGGGCATGACATGTGTGTTTGGAACTTTGGTGAGTGTCACCTACTCCTGAAGTCACACATTTAAAGAAACTATAGAACAGATCCAAGATGATATTTTAGCAATCTGCAAACTGAACTACAGTGACAGATAGCAGATGAGTATTTGCTTGGGAAAGAGCAGGATAGGAGGGCCAAGAGGTAGGGATTACAAAGAGCAGGAGGAAGCTTTGGGGAGTGATAGATACGGTCATTAGCTTGATTATGGGGACTGTTTCATAAGTGTATACATATGTCTAACTTATCAAACTGTACATTTAAAATATGCATTTGTATATTTAAAATATACAATTTTTAATTACATTTAAAATATGCATAATGTATATCATTTGTACCTCAATAAAATGCTGCTATTTAAACTTGTTTTAGCTTTCCAAATATAAAACTATTTTATGAAACTAAGGGTTAAAGGAGATAGAGAAAAAGTAAAAACTCAGAATAGTACATGGCACATGGCAAATACTTAAATACTTAATTTAATTTAAATACTTAAAATGTTAGCCCAGTCTTTACAACTCCTACCACTGTTTCTACTATTCCTACAATTACTATTCACTGAGAAATGCAGACAACATAAATTCACATTCTTTTTTTTTAAAGATTTTGTTTATTTAACACAGAGAGAGAGAGATCACAAGTAGGCATAGAGGCAGGCAGAGAGAGAGGGGGAAGCAGGCCCCCACCGAGCAGAGAGCCTGATATGGGGCTTGATCCCAGGATCCTGGGATCATGACCTGAGCAGAAGGCAGAGGCTTAACCCACTGAGCCACCCAGGTGCCTATAAATTCACATTTTTTATAGTAGAACCTTTATAGTAGAATCCTCTAACCTAGTCTCATACCTTACCAATTCCTTCTGGCTGGGTTATTCCCAAACTACTCGAAGATCCCTTCTAATGCACTGTGTTCTCCTATTCTCCTTGGCCATCTCTACATTTACATGTGCTACGCTAGTCTCTGCCTTGACTCCTCCTCTGCCCATCTCCACCCCCCTTTTCCCAATCATCTAGCTAACCCCTAAGAGTCATTTAAAACTCCTGAAAAGCCTTCTCTAATATCCCCAAGATGAATTTAAAAATATTTCTAGATGCTCCCCAGCCCTGCCCTTAACTTTCAGTACTGCACATGTATCATGGTATGACTTACTATGCATTTTTATTTATTTGTCTTCCCCTTCTCTTCTGTGAGCAACTGGAAGTCAGTGCTGTGTCATTCCCCTAACTAGTCATTCTGACTACTGAAGAAACAAACTATATCAAGAGTAAATGATCTTATCTGCAAAAAATGATCAACTTGAACAACACAAAGTAGCATACATTCTAAAAAGCATTTATTAAAACCAATACAAACCATTATTTTTATAGATTTCATTATTTTGAGCATAATACCAGGTTTTTTTTAAAGTGAGGTTATTTGTGAACTACCAAAAGTAGACTGACTTTTTTTCAAATCAAAAAGTGTCTCTTTGTACAGACATGATTTACTAATACCTTACTATGAAAAGGAGTATCGGTTTTCAATTTTAAAAACTGTTTTAAAATTCCAAATAAAAGTGCTTCTAATAAAGAAGAATCCATTTTTACCCTGAACCATTATTATTATAGATATATTCTTTCAAAAAGATTATGCTGCCAGATGACATTAATAAAGTTCATGTTTTGAGTGTACTCTATTCTTTAGTAACCTAAACTTTACTTTTTAAAAACATGAATTCAATCAAAGGATTTACTTGGATATAAAACAAAAAGAAGAGAGATTAATTTGGGGTATTTAAAAAAACTCTGTTTTTTTTCTTTTATTACAGGTTGAGTCTTGCAAATACTGCTGTCTGCATGACTGTATTAGAGAATGTAGATTATCGCATATTGAAGTTGCTATTTGCCAAACCACAGGTGTTCTATAATGATTTGGTAATTAGCTATCACTATTCTTTTTGTGTCTGTACCTATAGAATAGAGTTTTCAAATCTTAGAACAGTTTAACCTATAAATCCCTTTATTTGTCCCATGATCTGTGGATATTATATACCAGTCTAAACTGGTAAATTCAAACTAAAAAAAATAATAATAATAAGAAGAAGAATATAACCAAAGATTTTTAAGATTTGGGCTTAAAAACACTTTGTTATTCTCATAATAAGAAAGTATTTACATTTTAAAAGGAATACCACCATGAAAAGAGTATCTCTCTCCTGATCCAAAAGAGCTATTAGCTTTGGGAATCCATAATCTTTTAATGCTACAGATGGACAAAGCAAAATATGCTAACTACTGCATATAAAAAAAAAAATCACAGATGTTAACACAGTTAAGAATACAAAGAATACTATTAGAAAAATAAGGTTTCATTGTAAAAAAAGTTTCTAGTTCATGTAGCACTTGCATACTGAGGAATAAATCAATTAAAGGAAATAAAGTTATATATAAAGTTACAGTCATGGGCTAAAAAGGAGTTTGAAATAACTGAAAAGAAAATTCTGGGGGAGCCTGGGCAGTTCAGTGGTTTAAGCATCCGACTCTTGATTCCAGCTCAGGTCTTCATCTCAGGGTCATGCGTTCAAGCCCCTAATTAAAAATTTTTAAATGTTTTAAAAATTTAAAAAAAACTTTCTTAAAGGAATTTTTAGATCTTATCAAGTTTTATTCATTCTCACCCCCAACACATTTCCCTTATTTAATCCTGAAGTAAAATTTATATAATGAAATATCATATTCAACACTAAACTACTTAGAAAAAGCAAGTTTCATATTGCATGATTAATATTATTTATTCTGTTCTTATAAAATTCCAATGATCATAAATAGTTTTAAGGAGGTATCTTTTTTTAAAGATTTTATTTACTTATTTGACAGAGACACAGAGAGAGAGGGAACACAAGCAGGAGGAGTGGGAAAGGGAGAAGCAGGCTTCCCACTGAGGAGGGAGCCCGATGTGGTGCTCGATCCCAGGACCCTAGGACCATGACCTGAGCCAAAGGCAGACGCTACCCAGGCGCCTCTTAAGGAAGTATTTTAACAAGCTACCACTGCTTTTCATAACCATGAAGATTAAATAAGATTATAAGAAAAATAGGAGTGTCTGGGTGGCTCCGCCAGTCAAGCATTTACCTTCAACTAGGGTCATAATCCCAGGGTCCTGGGATCGAGCTCCATAATGGGCTCCCTGCTCAGCAGGGAGTCTGCTTCTCCCTCTGCCTCCCCACTCTGCTCATGCTCTCTCTTGCTTCCTCTCAAATAAATAAAATATTTTTTAAAAAATATAGAATGTTAGGGTCCATCTGTAACTATTTTCATGCCAGTCAACATTATAGTAAGGTTAGTACTACAATGATAGTAATCACTTTAATCAAAAAATACCAAAATCTTTAACCTTGAATTCTTACTAAAAATTAAAATTTCATTTAAAAACATTTAATATTTTAAAATTTTTAAAAATTGTAACTTTAAAAAAAATTGTAACTTTATATATTAGATTAGTTAATAAGATATATCAAAATTCTTAACATTACTACTTAAATGCAAGTAAGATACAATCAAAATATTTGAATGCTTAAAAGAAATGAGGATTTTTAGTTAAAGATAATGACTTTGACATGCCTACTTAGCTCCTCTCACTCCAAGACCCCACTAAAAGATGGTAAGGAATTTTTAAGGCCCACAAACCCAAAAGAACAGAGAATAAAAGATAAGACAGTAGCAACAAAAATTCAGAAGCCGGAAAGCAGACAAATGAGAAGTGACAGACTTAATGATCTTGAGAAAGTTTTATCTTAGGCCAGCAGTCAAAATATGTGTTGAACTAATGAATACCCAAAGGTGGTTGTGATAATACAGTAAGTTATTGGGATGCCTGGGTGACTCATCATTAAGCGTCTGCCTTCAGCTCAGGTCATGATTCCAGGGTCCTGGGATCCAGTCCCGCCTTGGGCTCCCCGCTCAGCAGAAAGCCTGCTTCTCCCTCTCCCACTCCCCCTGCTTGTGCTCTCTCTCTCTCTGACAAACAAATAAAATCTTTTAAAAAAATGCAGTAAGTTATTTAAATCTTTTTTTAAAAAAATACAGTAAATTATTTAATGATTAAAAAAAACAAACAAAAATCCTTTATGCTGTACCATAATGTTGAATGTTAAAAACTGCACTTGCAAGTTTATGGAATCTCACTCAGCCTCCCATGGAAAGGTTCTCTTTGACTGAGGCTCATAATAGATTGGAATAGCAGTGGCCAGAGAAAAACTGCTCCTGGCAGGAAACTAACATTCACTAACCAGATCCACTACACAGAGCTTTATACAGAACTTTATTACTGAGAGTTTTACTTTGCAGGAAGAAAAATTCACAATATACATGCTGACATATTATGATGTGCTGCAGTAAGACAAACACATTAACTTACATTAATGTGACAGCTCATCTGACACACATCCCAGGAAACCAAAAACTCACTCATTAAGCCAAATATATAAAATAGATTTATTATTTAAAATCATCACAGAATAAACTGTTCTAAAGAACAGTGTTTCCCCTTCCTAACCTCTTCAAAACTTTCTAAAAGTTAGAAATCTTTCATATATATATGTATACTATATATATATACACACACACACACACACACATACATACACACACATACACACACACATGTCTGTCTTCATAAAGAGAACACAGAAGAAAATATGAGAATAAAGGCAAAAGGCTTCAGGTGTATTCTCACCATCACCATATCATTTTACTTTCTCATTATGAATCTGATTTCTCTGTCTAACCAGCCAGCCAGCCATCATCTAAAAAGAGAGTTAGACTGAAGGACTGCCATTTTACCAACTCTGAGGCCTTCTGTGCAGATCACATGGCTTTCCGCCATAGGGAAAGGTACAGCTACTCTAACATATGGCAGGAAAATGAGTTGGACTGTCACTCAGGCCAGGACTATGGCATCAATCTCCTTCCTCCTTTCTCTGTCACCAGTACTTCTCTGTTCTAAGCTATTTCCCTCAATTCCTCCAGTAGAATCTTCCTGAAAAATGAGTCTATGACTCTTCTCTGCTTAAAAATGTTAATGGCTTCTGATGTTTAAATGGTAAAGTCCAAACTCCATAAAAAGACACTCAAAGCCCTTTATAATCTGACCACAGACTACCTCTGCAGTCACTTTTCATCTCTTGCCATTATTCTTCCTATGCCAAAAGCTAAACTATCTACCATTCTCTCAGCAGGCACACATACTCTCACACCCAGTGCCTTTGCACATAATGTTCTGTGTAATGCCCTCAATCTCTATAATCTGCTCATCCTTCAATACCTAGTCCAAATGTCACCTCATCAAAGAAGTCCTCTTTCACAACCCAAGGCTGACTAAATCAGTCCCTCTGCTCTCATAGCACTTTGTCAAGTTTCTATAAGAGCTGTATCATAAATGGACCCACCAACATATTTATTTCCTTTTTAACCAATATGAAATATGATCTTCATCATTATTCCCAGAGCACGCACTTACTTAACAGGTAGTAAATGTAGAATAAATGTCTATTAACTGAACAAATTTGTGAGTTCCAGGTAAGGCTATCAGAAACATACTTCCTACTAATACCACAATAAAGATTCTTCTTTGATCTCTGGTGGGTAGCAACATGGAAAGAATTAAGATTAGCCTTAGTAACTGGAAAGAAAGCATCAGAAACTTGAAATTTTGCTCAGTAAAGGGCTAATGTAGGAGCAGAGTACTGTAGTAAATAAAGCATGATCTCTTGAGCCAGAAAATTTGGGTTCAAATTCAGGTCACTAGCAGAGTGTCCTTGGGTAAATCTCTTAATCTCATGACAATTTCCCTATCCATAAAACAAAGATGATAACAACAAATATGTCACAGAATAAAATAAGGCCTCTGGAGTGAGTAAATCCCTTAACCTCTCTGGTGACAATTTCCCTACCTGGTAAAAAAGATTTAAAGTGGATGATAAAGTCAGAGAGCTGTAAGGCTTAACTAAGGGCAGGCATATAAAAGTATTGTTTAAACAAAAGCTATCATCAAATCCAAATCAAATGTAAAAATCATCAAATGTAAAAATTCACAAGCATTAGTAACTATGGTAAATGGGAAGATTACATTAGAAGAAATGTGTGTGACAGGTCGGTGGAGGGGAGGAAGCTAAGGTTAAAAAAAGGCAGGCTCCACACCAGCTCTTGTGGGTCGCCATAGTTCCAACCCAAGCTTCTCCTGAAAGAAAGCTTCTCTTCCCAAGGGAACATGGCAGAGGTTCAGATAGAAGGGCAAATATTTTTAGAAAGAAGAGATGTACATTTATTCATAAAATATTTATTAAATGTCCACCATGTTGCCCAGTACTAACAATGACAACTCAAGCCTACTATCCTCAAGGAAGTGCCTATACTATTTTGTACGTATTTTCATAAAGATGAAAATACAGGAAAAGTCAATATTTATTATCCAAGCTGAACTGTAGAACTAACAGCTAGCTCTATATTCACAGAAGATTAACTATTCACCTCCAGTTAATGTCGAACTTGTAACTATTAATAGTATGCAAAGATTTAATCTATAAGAATCAGTATATTTAAGGGTGCCTGGGTGGTTTAATCGGTTGGGCATCCAACTCTTGATTTTGGCTTAGGTCATGATGTCAGGGTCCTGGTGAGCCCCATGTCAGGCTCTCTGCTTGGCACGGAGTCTGTTTTTCCCCCTCACTCTGGTCCTCCCCCTGCTTGTGCTCTCTCCCTCTCTCCTTAATAAATAAAATCTTTAAAAAAATAATAAAATGGAAAGAACAGGTATATTTACCTGAAATACAAGTTTCACAAGGATTTTTTCTTGATGAAACATACTCACCCAAGGCAGGGTATCCAAGGTAAAATCGATCTGCTCCCAACCATCCAAGGAAAAGAGACAGCGCAACTGCCACCTTGTATGAATAGCCATTTCTGTACAAAATTAGAACCTGAGTGTTACATATATGTATTTCCAACATGCAAACATTTTAGGAAACAAAACTGTTAATTATCACTTATTTATTCATTTGTTCACTGATCCATTCATTAATTTTCATGCCAGGCACTATTCTAGGTTTTTGGGATATATATATGAACAGAAGAAATAAGGATCCCTGTCCCTAAAGAGCCTTCAATCAATAGGCAACAAGCAATAAAAATAAACATTTTAAAAGTAAATCATATATTATGTTAAAAAGTCGTAAAAGGGGGTGCCTGGGTGGCTCAGTCAGTTAAGCAGCTGCCTTCGGCTTAGGTCATGATCTCAGGGTCCTGGGATCAAGTCCCTAGGATTGAGCCCTGCCCTGGCTCCATACTTAGCAGGGCATTTGCTTCTCCCTCTCCCTATGCCCCTCGGCCCCCCTCCACACCCCCCCTTGTGCTCTCTCTCTTTCTCAAATAAATAAAATCTCAAACATACATACACACACACACACAAAAGAAAAGTCAAAAACACTATTAAAAAAAGAAGTGGAGCAGGTCATTTAGGGGATTCAGAATGTCAGGGGTACAGACGAGGGGGATATAAGATATAAATAGGGTAATAAGAGTAGGCATCATTGAGAAGGTGATAGATAAGCAAAGACCTGAGGGAGGTGACTTAGTTGCATGCCACACCTCTAAGGGAGGAGCATCCTAGGCAAAAGTACCTGCTGAGGGGAGCAGAGCATACCTGACTGACATGTCTGAGGTCTATAAAGGAGGCCAGTATAGCAGGAGTGGAATCAGAGAACAGAAGAATAGTGGGAGCTGAGGTCAGAGAGAGGACAAGGGGCAAAGGGGGCAAATCATGGAGGGCCCTGAACATCGCTGTAACGACTGGTTTGTACTCTAAAGGATATGGGAAACTACTGTAGGATTTTGATATGATCTGATTCAGATTTTAAAGCAACTAGCTGCTAGACTGAAAACAGACTGTAGGGGAGTACTCATGAGCTACTGTCACAATAATACTGTATAACAAACCACTCTAAACCTCAGTGGCTTAAAACAATAAGCAATCAGCCTCACACTGCAATTAGCTGTGGTTCAGCTTATCCAGGGTGGGTTCAGCCAGGAAATGCTGCTTCAGGCTAAAGTTTGGGTCAGTTTGGAGCCAGGCTACTTATTTCCTTAAAATCAGTTCCTCTTACAGTTTTCCTAGGGCCCAGGCTGCAGGTGTAGCTTTTACCCAGGACAGGTTCTTTTCAGAACTTATCACCATGATTCAAGAGGAAAGATAAACCTCACAAGCACATTTAAGCCCCTGCTTGTTTCATACCTGCTAGCATTACATAAGCCAAATCCAATCACATGGCCAAGCCCCAAACCAACAGAGTAGAAAGTACACACCACCCCGTTAACAGTGATTGAGAGGGATGAATTTGTTGAACAAATGTGAGCTACCACAAGGACAAAGGAGTCTGAAGGCTCTTGCCGTAATCCAGATGAAAATTAATAGTGGCTTAACCTGGAGTCCTAGCAAAAAAAAAAATACCACTGAGAAGTGATCAGATTCCGGATATGTTCCAAAGTATAACAACTGGATTTCCTGATGTATCCAATTTAGGGAATGAAAAAAGGAATGAGAATAAAGCTAAGATTTTTGTCCCATGTAACTAGAGGGATGAAGCTAGCATTAACCGAGTTGGGGAAGGCTGAAGGTAGACTAGACCTAGAAAAGATGTTCAGGATTTCATTGTTGGACATGTGAGTTTGAGATATTTATCAGATATCCAAGTGGAGTTGTTCAACAAAAGACAGCTGGATTTATAAGTCTAGAGTTAGGGAGAGAAGTCTGGGCTGGAGATATATATTAGGGAGTTACAAGCATATAGGAAGTATTTTAAACCAGGACATTTCTATGTGAGTATAGACCAAAAAAAAAAAAAAAAAAAAGAGAGAGAGAGAGAGAGAGAAAGAGAAATTCACTGAGCCTTGAGATACTCCAATATTAAGAGATCAAGAAGAGAATAAACTAGAAAGGAGACTAAGCAAGAGTTAACAGTGAGGAAGAAGTATAACTAGAAGAGTGTGGTATACTGGAAGTCAAGGGAAGACAGTACAGTGTATTAAGGAGAACAGTGATCAGTTGTGCCAAATGCGACTGACAGATCACATAAGTAATGGCTGAGAATTTTCCACTACATTTAATCAAAAAGAGTTCAGTAGTGACCTCAGCGAGGGCAATTTTGATGATGTGGTATAGGAAAATGACCAAACAAAGCAGGCTTAAGAAAGCCTGGAATGAAAAAAAAAAAAAAAAACCTGAAAAACAGGAGTATTAGACAACTCTCTGAAGTTTTACTGCAAAAGGAAGTAAAGAAACAGAGAGGTAGCTGGAGTTACCACTTTAAAATCAAATCTGATTATGCCAGTCTTACAATCCTGTTTTTTTGCATTTCACTCACAATTAGGACATTTGGGGGGCTTGGGGGGAGACGGCAGATGGACCAGAGATCCTGTTTATGCATCTAATACTGAAATGCATCTAATACTCATTTTATGCTGAGGGCAGTGGTGTCCCATCTACCCTGGAATGGGGTACCAGACTAGAAATAGAGCAATAAATTAGTAGGCTTTGTAGAAACTCAAGCTGTAACCTACTGGGCAGTAGCAGTAGGAGAGAAATGTAAACAAAATTGGGAAATACTAAGAAGGCAGAGGTAACCACATTAAATGTGGGGGATGAGGAAAAAGAAGAAGTCAAGAAGGCTCCAAAGTTTCAGCTTAAGAAATTGACTAGGACAGGGGTGCCTGGGTGGCTCAGTGGGTTAGAGCCTCTGCCTTCGGCTCCGGTCATGATCCCAGGGTCCTGGGATCGAGCCCTGCATCAGGCTCTCTGCTCAGCGGGGAGCCTGCTTCCTCCTCTCTCTCTGCCTGCCTCTCTACCTACTTGTGATCTCTGTCTGTCAAATAAATAAATAAAATCTTAAAAAAAAAAAAAAAAAGAAAGAAAGAAACAGATAAGGACAGGTGCCATTCATTAAGACAAAGGAGGAGATGGTTTGAGGGAGATGAAAGATTGACTTTGGGACCTTAATATACATTAAGATGGTGAGAAAAGCTAAAGGAGTGAATGAATAAAAAAGGGAATAGGGCAAGAATATAATCTTGGGGATATCAAGATTTAAGGAAAAAACAAAAGAGGAATCAAAAAAAAAAATAGAAGAGTGTTTTATACTTGAAGTCAAGGAAAGAATTTTAAGAGAAGGAAATGCCAAATGCTGTAGAAGAAAAATTAAGATGTGGACTATAAAGTTCCATTTGACAGAGAACAAAGATTGCTAGTAAATTTCAGCATAGCCAAAAGCTGGACTCTATCAGACAGAAAAATTCATAAAAGGTAAGTATTATAGGAACAAGCCTTTCAAAAAGCGTGGCTGGAAAGGGGAATGAAATTAGAAACACAATTATCTATATATTAGATCACCCTAAAGAATAACCTGAAAACGGGTGGCGTAGCAGAGACTGTCTAATTGCTCACTGAACCACTGCTCTTTTTCTCACGGATGTACTGTGAAGTTACATACTCTAGCCCATCTTGCAGTTATGTGTAGCCATAACTGAGTTTTGCCCAACGTAATGAGGACAGAAGCGATGCATGCCATTTCTAGATCTGGTCCATAAAACACACCTACCCGGGGTTCCTTTTCCTCTTTCCCATCTGCTGGCTGAATGGAAAGGACTCTGAGGATGAGAGGAAGCAAAGCCACAGGATGAAAGGAGCAAGGCTCTTGCATGACTGCATGGAGCAACAATCACTCCCCTTACCTCACCCAGCCCTCCACGCCAACACCAACCGGACTATGATGTGAGGAGGAAATAACTTTTACTGTGTTAAGCCACTGACATTCTAAAGACATCTGTTACAGCAGTTAGTCTGCTCCAACTAAAACAGTTGGCCAGTATAAATAGGTGTGTGGCTTGGTGATCAATCAGACATGGTTACCAGACTTCAGTTGCTGGAGAATACATTATAGAATGACTGTATCTGCAATATTAAGACGGGAGTTTTCATCAAGTATCAATATTATATACAGTTTGAAAAAGAATATGCTAATAGGAGAAGGAAAATATGTGAACTGGGAAAGGAACATTCAATGAATAAGAATTTGTCAGTGACTATTCAGTAGCCGACCAGCAGCTGGCTCTTTGGTAGGCATGTACTGAATATTCTGATATAAGAAAATGATTTATGGGGTGATCTGAATTTTGTGACTTATCATTAAAATTACCCACTAATTTAGCTCCCCTTGTTCTGATTCAATGGTCATTAAGCAAATTCTATTTTGGAACTGTACGTTTTACTACAGGAGGGGTATAAATTGGCCAGTATACTTGCAAGTATCAGGTTTCCCTGATAATTATGTTTCTTCTCGTAACTGACATCAGTGTCTTGTGAGCATGATTAGTATAGCTCAGTGGCACTGAGCCTAATCTACCCAGAGACACCAAAAGAAGAATCAGAATTAACTTAGAAATTGAGTAACAGGCCATTATGGTGTTACCATTACATGTAATATAAGCCTGTTAAGTCCAACCTGAGTGGTTAGTTATTCTCAACAGATGATTGATTTTCTAAGTTGTTGTATTGTAACCTATGATGTCCTAGATCAACTTAATAAATTGGTTATCATTTGGAATTTTTATGGTAGAAATAGTAATCCAGGGATGCCTGAGTGGCTCGGTCAATTAAGCGTCTGCCTTCGGCTCAGGTCATGATCCCAGGGTCCTGAGATGGAGTCCCACATTGGGTTCCTGGCTCAGTGGGGAGCCTGCTTCTCCCTCTGCCTGCTGCTCTGCCTGCTTGTGCACAGTCTCTCTCTCTCTCTCTCTGACAAATAAATAAATAAAATCTTAAAAAAAAAAAAGAAATATGAATCGATAAATTCAAAACTTGGCTAAACCATATATAAGTAATAGGGAGGTAACTCCTTTTAGCAATTTTTACTTTACTAATGAGAAATTTTGGAACCCAAAAAGCTTAAGTGATTGGGTTAGGATTACACAGCAAGATAAAATCTAAAGCTCCTCATTAACTCAGTGAAGGAGGGTCAAAAGAAAAATAAGACTCCACTAGTAATTTCTAGGAATTCTAAAAGAACTGGAAGAAATAGCCAAATAGGGGCGCATGGGTGGCTCAGTGGGTTAAAGCCTCTGCCTTCGGCTCAGGTCATGATCCCAGGGTTCTGGGATCGAGCCCCACATCGGGCTCTCTGCTCCGTGGGGAGTCTGCTTCCTCCTTTCTCTCTGCCTGCTTCTCTGCGTACTTGTGATCTCTGTCAAATAAATAAATAAAATCTTTAAAAAAAAAAAAAAGAAATAGCCAAATAGTTAGGAAGGAAGGAAGGGCCTAATAGTGGTTATTTCTTAATACAACTGCAAACAGGTGCAATCAAATAAAATGTAACAATGTCAGTTAAAAGATAAAAGTATAGTGCCACCAATTAATAAGAATGCATAAAACTAAATCATGTTTTTAATACAAGGCAGAAATATAAGAATAAGATGTTAGCTTTACTACAGCAAAAATAAAACTCAAACTTAAAAGTCCTTTAAACAAAGAACACTCTTAACAAAATAAAGCCACTTGTCTTAATGTCCCAAAGAAATTTTTGAATTCTGTTTAACCATTCATCATCCATATCTATTACAAAGAATGAAACCAAATTTCAAAATGCCCTTAATATGCAAATGATTAATAATTAACATTCTTTTATTTTTTTTAAGATTTATTTATTTGAGAGAGAGAGAGAGAGAGGGAGACAGAAAATCTCAAGCAGACTCTGCACTGAGCACAGAGATGGACCTCACCACCCTAAGATCATAACCTGAGCCAAAACCAGGAGTCAGAGGCTTAACCAATTGAGCCACATAGCTACCCCAACATTCTTTTAATACTAGAAGTACATGATCCCTTTTTTGCACTGTAGAAATCCCCCAAATTTTAAAACAGAAGTTTTCATAACTCATTTGATGGCATAAACTGACTGAATTAACATGGCATAAGGCTACTCACAGTCTTTATTAATCCCACAGAGTGAACTACTATGCTTTACTTGGTGGTAAACTGCAATTATATTAACAATATGCACAGTTAAAATAGAGGTCTTCTAAGAAAGGCAAAAAAGATAAATTATATCAGTGCAGGATTTTCCCTATAAATTAACTTTTTATCTCTTTACTCCATGCAGTCAAGATATAACATAGGCAAGTAACCTGAAAATTTAGCTTCAGTAATGGACTTACACATTTCGGCAAGATACAGGCTTCAGAAAACCAACTTCATTTCCAGTAAAATGTGTTTCATTGCCACCAAAATCCTTACAAGTTATGTTGGGTGCTGGAAAACAAGGAACTAAAGACGGGGTTGGGGGGAAAGCAAGAAACTACTGTTTTTTTCCACAGAAAAGGTATGTAATCATGTTTAAGACTAGCAGAAAGCAGAATAAAATACAAAATTTTAACACACCACCTCCCAATATAACATCTGACACGAGACTTTAGATAAGAATATCTAAATAAAGGATAATACGATATAGTGGTCTCAACACAAAAATGTAAGAATTGTCACATTGGATTTGATGCATGACCCTTCTATTTCAATCTCCCGCCTCTGCCCAGTATTACTGCCCTTTACTTCATCTCTAGGGTAAAGACAACTTCTCAAATTTTTGTCTAACTCATAGGATATTTTATTAAATTTAACATGATCTGATTTTGTATTTTCAGTTTATATTAATTCTTGCAGAAGACAGTTACTATAAACTAAGATTCTTTTCATCTACCTTAAATATATTTTTCTATTATTTGTTTTTTGGGGTGCCTGGGTGGCTCAGTCATCAAGCGTCTGCCTTCAGCTCAGGTCATGATCCCAGGGTTCTGGAATCAAGGCCCGCATCAGACTCCCTGCTCAGCAGGAAGCCTACTTCTCCCCCTCCCCCTGCCTGTGTTCCCTCTCTCACTTTGTCTCTCTCTGTTAAATAAATAGATAAAATCTTCTTTTAAAAATTGTTTGTTCATTTTATTTGTTTATTAAATGATCTCTATGCCCAACATGGGGTTTGAATACACCACCCCAAGATTAAGAGTCACATGCTCTACTGACTGAGCAAGCGAGGTGCACCCCCCCACACACACCCAGATTACTTATTCTAAATGTATTTCTCTATTCCCTCTCGGAATTGATGTAGCATACCATTTTAGCATTTAGCATTTTCGATCTTTACTCCTACTCCAGATGACATATTAAGAGAAATACAGAGCTTACTGTGTGCTAGGCAGGAGTTATCCTGAAGGCTTTATAGCTTCACTGTATAAAGAGCAAGAACTTTGGAATGAGAATGACCTATGTGCATTGCCTCTTTCAGGACCTTGGATTCCTTGTAGATAAAAACAGCACTAAAATCTTCTACTTCCTAGTACCATTGTGGAGATTAAATATGATACAAAGTACCTAGTACAAGGCACAGCATACAGCAGTTATTCAGTAAATGTTACTGCCTTTTCCTCCTTCACCATTTCTGATTAAAAGGTACTAATGCTTTTAGGCTAATTTCAGACTGCTTATCTCTATGTTTAGTATCAATAATTACAGGATTTTTTTTTTTAATTTGAGAAAATGAAAACACAACCTTGTATCATAGTCTTAAAAAACCACAGAAGCCCTAGAGTTTTATCATGAAAGGAAAATGGCATTCATTTTCTGTCTTCTTTGTAATTATCTTATGATTTCCAACAAATCATTGTCCTTTTATAGGCCAGGGTAGTACACAGAGAAAACAATGTTGGAAAAAAATGTAAAATTACTTTACACACTTTTGTTGGGTTAAAAAAGTTCAAACTACATTACCTATAAACTTAATTTATTTAATACACTTACATGTCCAAAACCAGGTGCTTACACTAAAAGACACAGATTCAGTATAACTGAGAACCACTTAAACAAGCAAAAAAGTAATAAAATGAAGGGCCGACAAAAAGTGAGGAAATAATATAGTTGACTCTTGAACAGCACTGGTTTGAACTGCATATGTATACTTACATGTGGGTTTTCCTCAACGAATACAACATAGTACTATAACTATATTTTCCTTATAATTTTCTTAATAACATTCTTTGTTCTAGCTTACTTTATGTAAGAATACAGTATATAATACATACAACATACAAAACGTATACTCATTGACTGTCTTCGATAAAGCTTCTGGCCAACAAGGCTATCAGCAGTTAAGTTTTAGGGAAATCACAAGTTACACACAGACCTTCTATTGCCCCAGGGTCATTAGGGTCAACTGTACTAGGAAACAAGTAAGAAGACATTGTAATTGAGCCACAAACCTAGACCAGAACTTCCTACTAAGACAGAAAGCTTTACAGAGCTTTTGTGGTATAATTGAAAGACAGCATTCTAATTCACCTCTGAGCTACTTCGGGAACTTGGTTTGGTTCATGACCCAAGGGAAACACGAGAAAATCCTCAATAAGAATGTTTGCAAAACACAGAGGTTTTCCACAATCATTTCTTGACTCCAGAAGTAAGCAAGAATTTACAGTCTACCGAGATAGGGCAAAGTTAACAGACAACTCATATGTAGCTGTTTGGACACCTGCCTTCATACTGGGAAAAAATGTACTGATTTTTGTGAATAAATTATTATCACAACCATTAGGTGATATCTCTTGAAATTCTGCCTTCTTAGGTCATGTCTAGCACTATATAGTAGATAACTCAAAATCGAGATTAGCCAATATCTGAAATGCTCATATTCCTTGTATTTGACTGAAAGAAGATCAATATGCTCCATTCCAATGGCCAAGGACAATTTTGCCCCACAGGGGACATTTGGCAGTATCTGGAGACATTTTTGGTTGTTACCACTGGGGAGTTGCTACTGCCACCTAGGGTAGAGGCCAGGGACGCTCCTAAATACCCTACCATGTATACAACAGCCTCCTCACAACTAAGAATTACCTAGTCCAAACATCAATCATCCCAAAGTCGAGAAACCTCACTCTAGACCAGCGGTCTTTAAAAAGTTTTGCTCGCACACTCCCCAAAGTAATCTTTTACAACTCTGAACTCCCTTACACACTGAAGTTGATACCTAAAGTTTTTCATCGTGGATTTAAATGGTTGGAAAAAATATAATTTCCAGCATATTATAAATATTGCTATTAAATTTAAACGTTATAGCATGCTTTACAATGGAATCTAAACACCACAGCAATTCAATAGCCACCGTTATCCAACAGAGAATAGATATGAAAGAGCTCCTCTTGAAAACAGAGAAATTTGGGGGCACCTAGGTGGTTCGGTCAGTTAAGCACTCTTGATTTTGGCTCAGGTCATGATTTTAGGATCTTGAGATCAAGCTCTGCATTGGGCTCTGTGCTCACTGGGGAGTCAGCTTTACTCCCTCTACCCCTGACCCCTCCTATCCCGTTAGCTCCCTCCCTCTCTAATTAAAAAAAAAAAAAAAAAAGTAAAATTCAGGGATGCCTGGATGGCTCAGTCAGTTAAGCATCTGCCTTTGGTTCGGTCATGATCCCAGGGTCTTAGGATGGAGTCCCACTTTGGGCTCCTTACCCAGCAGGGCACCTGCTTCTGCCTCTGCCTGCTTTTCTCCCTGCTTGTGCTCACTCTCTTGTTTTCTCTCTCTCTGACAAATAAATAAATAAACATTTAAAAAAAAAAAAAGTGGGGGGTGGGGGATGCCTGGGTGGCTCAGTCGGTTAAGCATCTGCCAAAGTGTCTGCCTTCATTAGGCTCGGGTCATGATCCCAGGGTCCTGAGATCACATCCAGCTCCTTGATCAGTGGGGAGCTTGCTTCTCCCTCTGCCTGCTGTTCTCTCTGCTTATGCGCACTCTCTCTCTCTGACAAATAAATAAATGAAATCTTTTAAAAATATTTAAAAAATAAAAAAAGCAAAATTCAGAAAATTTACATCAATTTTAGGATAAGTAAACATAATATCTGAGGATCTGGAAATCAGCTCCTTTAAAGACACCTGTTATGGGCTGTATTATGTTCCCTCTAAAAGATATGTTTAAGTGCTAATCTTCAATACCTCCGAGTATAACCATATTTGGAAGTAAGGTCTTTGCAGGTTTAACCAAGTTAAAATGAGATCATTAGGGTGGGCCCTATTCCAATAAGACTGTTATCCTTATGAATAGGGGAAATCACATGCATATATAACAGGGAGAAGATGACTTGAAGACAGACAGAATGCTATGTGAGGACAGAGGCAGAGACCAGACCAATGCAGTTAAAAGGCAGGGATGCCAAGGATTGTGGCCCACCAGCAGCAGGTCAGAAGAGGGGAGGATATATTCCACCCAGAGTCTGAGAGAGAGGATGGCCCTGCCAACACCTTGATTTCAGATTTCTAGCCTCCAGAACTGAGACCATCAATGTCTGTTGTGACACACTTATAATGGCCCTAGGGAACTACTTCAATAATGACACCTGTTTACCTCCTGAAAAGCTCTATACATACTCCAGGAGTATGTATACAAGAGTTTAGGCATCAGGCACATAAACCAAAGAGGTGTCTGGTTTAAAAAGTTAGTTTTTTGCCTTGCTGAGGACCATTCCACCTCCACAAAGAAGTGACCGGTAGTAAATATAAACACGAGTTTTTTCTCAACATAGATCTTTAATTTTTTTAAATCCTCAAAGTAGTAAGTTCTGGATTGGCAAATTGTACCATAAAATAGAACTTTATTACAAAATTTTAGATAATCTTCCTCTAAAGGTACTACCTTGCACTTACTTGCTCAGTTTGAAGCTGTCTCTTTCTTGTCTTATAGCCCTGTGAGATCTTCCTGCAGACTATCTAAAATCAGATCTTAAAGAGACAGTTGCAATGCAAAATGCTATAATTATGATTCTAGTTGGGGTTATTGTCCAATACATCTTGCTAATAAAAATGCATGGTTTTTTGAAATGAGTTTCTTGTACATTCAAAAAAATCAAACATTGATAGATGAGTTGTAAAAAGGCCTTATAAAAATATTAAATATTAAGAAATCATACCTTTCTATTTTTAATTAGACACTATTCTTTGAACCATAAATTTTGAAAATTACAGTTTTCAATGATATTTTATCATTTCTTAATAGGAAATTATTTATATTTGACATGAGACATTTGAGAGCAAAATGCTCAATGCTCCAGGCTCAGAACCTCAGGAAAGCTACAAACAGTGGAAAGAGGTGCCAGAATGAAGAGGAAACCATATTGCCATAAGGATTCTAAAGTTTGAGAGAAGCATGAGCTAATTATTTCAAGGGATGAAAATGATATACTTTAGTGAGGAAGGAGAAGCTGCTGCTCCAAGGACACACAGAG